TATTTATTTATTTATTAGGGCTGAACGATTAATTGCATTTGCGATAATATCGCGATATGAAACATTTTGATTTTTCAATCGCAGAGGCTGCGATTACACGGTCACGTGACAGGCGAGAGTAAAGAGTAGGGCTGGACAATATGGCCAAAATTGAGATCACGATATATTTCTTAATTTCAGTCGATACGATATAATTCCGATATCGATATGAACACTATTTATCTGAAATAGAAATCTTTTGTAACAATATAAATGCCTTTATCATCACTTTTGATCAATTTTAAGCATCCTTGCTAAATAAAAATAATTTCTTTCCCAAAAAAATAATACAAATTATACTGAATGGAATAGTGTATAATGTTACAAAAGCTTTTTATTTCAGATAAATGCTGATCTTTGGATCTTTCTATTCATCAAAGAATCTTGAAAAAAAAAAAATGTACTCAACTGTTTTAGATATTGATAATCAGCAAATCAGCATATTAGAATGATTTCTGAAGGATCATGTGACACTGAAGACTGGAGTAATGATGCTGAAAATTTACCTATGTATGATCACAGGAATAAATTACATTTTAAAATCTATTCAAATAGAAAGCAACTTTAAATAGTACAAATATTTCAACATTTTACTGTACAAATAAATTGTACTGTTTTTGATCAAATAAATGCAGCCTTGGTGAGCAGAAGAAAATTCTTAAAAAAAAAAATCCTTAAAAATCTTACTGTTCAAAAACTTTTGACTGGTAGTGCAGGCTGATTATTCTTATAGATTGAAACAAATGTGCTTCAGCCAAAAAAAAGGGTATGAAAAGCAGCTCCGCTCATGAATGCTACTTTATCAGATCAAATGAAAACGCCATCGAAACTTTTCTGAAGACAGTCGGTTCCCTTCAGAGATACATTCATATAAAACACCCGCGGCGTGTTATGATTTTGAAACGTGCAGTGCTCATGTTTATTCAATGAAGTCAAACGCCACAAATAAATCAATGTATGGGAAACACTGGGAATGTATATCGAAATATCGGAAATGTGTTTAAAAATCATATCACCGTTATTGAAAAAAATTATATCGCGATACATATTGATATTGAATTATTGTCCAGCCCTAGTAAAGAGGTATGTTTGACTTGAAGATCAGATCGGTGTATGACATCAAAGTACGGCGAGCGAGAGAAAGCATAAGGAGTACTCTGATGACACACTCATCGGTCTAAGCAGCGCTGCTTCAAGTCGAGCGCGGGCCATCAGCAGAAAAAGAAAAGAAATAAAACAGTAAACAGCCAAAGGACGTAACTTAGAATGGGTGATGGATCAGTTTGTGAAAGGGAAGAGAAAAGCCATAGATGAAGTCGCACAGACCCAGGCAGGTGCTGGTCATTTAAAAGCTAAATGCAGAAAATATGACGAGGCATAACTTGCTCTCGGCTTCACTCACAGTGTCTATACCGGACGCGACAGTCTTCGCGTCACGCCGCAACAGCTCTACACTGGACGTGACAAAGCGACCGTTGCTAATCATTTTAACTTTGTGTCAGTACGTCATAAATAGAACAAGGCATCAGTTTAATGTCGCGTTGCATCCAGAGTACACAGTGTCACTGGTTATAATGGTTCTACTGTATTTTGCTGCTCGCGTCCGGTGTAGACATGTGTTTAATGTCGTTGGTGAGGAGGAAAGCCTGTGTGTGTCCTATACCTTAGCAGACAGCACGAAACCCACAAAAAATAAATAAATAACAGAGTAAAGAGATAAAGTCGGCGACATTGACTCGTCATTTTTGCACTAGTGGACAAGCCTGTATGCATGTT